GAAGATGGTTTGAAGAAACTAGATGGCGCATCCCAGATAGTGAACCTGGAGGACCAATCAGAAGTCACCAAGTTATCTGTGACTAACTTTGATATTAGCAACTGCTGTGAAGATGGTTTGAAGAAACTAGAAGGCTCATCCGAGGTAGCGAACCTGGAGGACCAATCAGAAGTCACAAAGTTAGCTGGACAATAGATATTAGAATAGCAACATGTAAATTATTTATTTCTTCCTTTTTATCTTTTCTCTGATCGTCAGTCTCTCCACCTTTCTCTTTTCTTGATTGATGATGAGAGTGTCTTTTCTTCGTCCACCTTTCCTGAAACTTTTTTTTCCCCAAGGAATTTCCCTTCGCTGGTTGCCAACTCTATTATTTACCAGCTCCAGAGTAGGATCGTGTGATGCTGTACTCTGTATTCTCATGTACACTGATTACAAACCATTGATAGTATTTGTAGACATTACAACACAAAGGAAGTTCATTCTTCTATTTTTGTATATTTGTTTTTATCCTCCTAACTCCAGTTTTGAATGCTGGTTTGTTCCACTGTCCTCATGAACAGAATACTCTGATATAGTGCATGATAGAAAAATTCACTCTTTGCGCTTCAAATGGGACAACAGACGGTGGTTCTGAATAACAGGACAGGTTTGATGTTGCTCCCAGATTTACGAATATTCGATTACATGAGCAAGAATCTGTCCTAGAAACAATTCACCATTTACAACAATCTATTTCATGCAGGAACATTAGATGCTACACATCGTTGTTTAATCTTCTGAGAACGAAGTTGACACAATTCACCATTTACAACAATCTATTTCATACAAGAACATTAGATGCTACACATCGTTGTTAAGAATCCATTTAATCTTCAGAGAACGAAGTTGACACGGGTTGCATATGACGACTGCGGACTAATACCCTTGTGGTTTCTCTTCACTCATCGCACTATATATATATAGGACAGGCCGTTAGGACGGCCGTTTGGGACACCTGGGTGCCCAGGCTCCTTGCCTTTTCACCACTCGGTTGCATTTAGATGTGTGCTATTGCAATGGGTATGGGACACCTGGGTGCCCAGGCTCCTTGCCTTTCCACCACTCGGTTGCATTTAGATGTGTGCTATTGCAATGGGTATGTGTAGTGTATTAATGCATTAGTCGCTAATTGAATACCATAAATAAGGCTCATGCGCATCATGCATGGGAACAATTCTGTAGTAGAAAAAAAGGAAAGAGAATAACCTGCATGGCAATGTTGCATATTTGGAGTCACTAATAGAAATAGGAGAGAGAGAGAGAGA